GCTGCGCTGCGGCTGCGGGGGAAAGGTAGCCGAGCTGGCTGTTGGGGAAGCACGGATGAAATGTCCTTGGTTTTGCCTCAAAAGCTGTATGGTGCAGTCATTTGTTGTCACTCCTCTTTTGAAGTTATTTCAATATAATGTGTTGTAGGTTAATGGAATTAATCCTTTCTGGTTTTTATTTCTAATTAGGATTCCTTCCCTATGATGTCAATCCAACATATAATCAAATGGCTTTACCCATATGACATTCTACTAGGAAAGGAAGGCAGGACTGCAGTAGAAAATGCATTAAAAGTAAGTACTCTTTATTTTATATAGCAATCCCAGAGAACAGTGAATTACTACAGTAGCCCGGTTAAATCACACTACTTTATTTATTTTAATAAGACATCAAAGCAATGACAATTTAAATAATATATGTTAATTAGATGATGAGGGGTTTTATTTTTAAGTTGATTTAGGCTGCAATTCACAAAGGTTCTTAAACAAGTGCATAACTTAACAGTGTGATAGTCCCTTTAATTTCAATGTAACTACTCAGGTTTAAAGATAAGCTTGTGCTTAAATGCTGTAGCTGGGTGTGTCTATCCCTTCGCATCTGCCTCTAAAGGAAGCCACAACTGCTCATGGTCTGATCTGCTAAGGTACGTCTACACTTGCTCCATAGTTCAAGCTAGGGACGCAAATGTAGGTGACCGAAATTGCTGATGAAGCGGGGATTTAAATATCCCGCGCTTCATTAGCATGATCTCACCAGAGCGCGTGCTTCATTAGCATGATCTCACCAGAGTGTTAGTCCTATCAACAGTTGTTTCGAACCAGGAAGTGCGCGCCGAGACACATTAGTTCGAACCAAACCCTTTGGTTCGAACTAATGTTACTAGGAGTAACTTGCGGGCAAGATCATGCTAATGAAGCGCGGGATATTTAAATCCCTGCTTCATTAGCAATTTCGGTCACCTACATTTGCATCCCTAGCTCAAACTAAGGAGCAAGTGTAGACGTACCCCTAGAGAACTGTTCAAAAAACAGGAAAGGGAGAATTAGTGGTACTCAGTGGTCTCTGGCCATTAAGGAGGACAGGGCCACAAAGAGTCTAGAATGTGGCCTACAGTCAGGCAAAACTATAGCAATTTATATTTCCAGCCTTCAAGAAAGATGGAGAAAAAATAGTCAAGACTCTGACCTACAGTCAGGCAGAGCTATAGCACTAAATATAGTATTTGGGTCCCCAGCAGAAGTGAACACCAAGCACCATCTGTGAGGCTCTGGCAGAGGTGAGAACCAAGTACTGTTTTGGGGGCTCCAGCAGGGATGACCGAGAAGTGCAGGCCTCCTAGCCTATGGTAAGAGAGTACTGCCATCCCAAGATGGAGTGGCAGGGATAGTGGGATATGGGCCCTTATAGCTCCACCGCGTCCTGGGCCAGGGTCCAAACAGTGGCAGAGTGGTCTGTTCCTATGTCAGATGGGAATCCACCGGCAACATGCTGTGTTTCCAGTGGTACCACAGCCAGATGTTAGTTTGGTTCCCCAGGGTTGCTTCCTACTCTTCCTCTCAGATATATCTGCATCCAGGGGTTGTCGTCAGGGATACACTGCCATGGGTAGCAGTAGCAGATCCTGAGCATTACGAACATCAGGGTTTTCTGGGAGCTCGTGCAGTTCCTAAGGGCAGCAGCAATTCTCCTTGGCATCCTACTCCAGCAGCAGAGAAGAGCCTATTTCTTTTCACGTCTCCCTTTCAGCTGAGCTCCTGAATTGATCTTTTTATCTTTCTCTTCCTGTTCCACACCTCTGCTTCCATTCACATAAGAATGGCCATATTGGATCAGAGCAAAACTCCATCTAGCCCAGTATCCTGTCTGCCAACAGTAGCCAATGCCAGATGCCCCAGGGGGAGGGAACACAAAAGTTAATTATAACATAATCCCTATCCTGTCATTCATTTCCAGACAAACGGAGGCTAGGGACATAATTCCTACCCATCCTGGCTAATAGCTATTGATGAACCTAACCTCCATGAATCTATCTAGCTCTTTTTTTATCCTTTTTGAACCAGGCAGATTGTGGCATTTGATACTTTCTCTTCCTGTTCCACCCATCTGCTTCCATTCATCGAGCGATTTGCAGCATTCCCTCTGTGTCAGTTTCTGAGGGAGACCACACCTCCTCACCACAATACCTTCCCGAATCAGGAACTTAGAGAGATGAGATAAGACCACACCTCCTCACCACAATACCTTCCTGAATCAGGAACTTAGAGAGACGATATTGATGAGATCGGTCTTTATCACTCAAATTGAAAATAATTTTTCTAAAATTCATAAACTTGTTAGAAAAGTAATTATGCTTAAATTATTTAAATTCCACTCCCCCAATATTTCTTTATCAACTTTTTGATTTTATGTTTTCTTCTGGGTCATTGATAACAATATTAAAGAGCATAGGGGCTGGGATCTAATCCATGCAGAAACTGGCTAGAAACATACCTACTCAATGATGTTCACCATTGACAGTTACATGGAGATCTGTTCATCCAGATTTTAATAAATTTGCTTTTTGCCATATTGATTTTGTATTCTTTGAAGTTTTAATCAAAATGTTATATGATACTATCACACATGACACAGAAGTCTAGGTATATTACATCAGCGATCTTACCTTTATCACTCAATCATGTAATGTCATCAAAGAGTATCAAATTTGTTGGGCAAGATTTATTTTCCATAAACACGTATGATTGATATTAATTATATTACCCTTCTTTAATTCTGTATGAATCAAGACTTATATCAAGTCTTCCATTCTTTTTTCCAGATACTGTTCTGGCTAACATGCCTATAATTACTTGGATCATCCCATTTGCCCATTTTTATACTAGCACAACATTAGCCTTTTCCCAGCCATCTGGAACGTCTTCTATTTTCCGAGATATATTTAAATCAATATTAACTGTTCCGTGAGGTCCTGGGTAAGGTATTATAACTCTTGTGTATAAGCAATGTGTACCTGCTGACTTTAGTAGCAGGTACTCATTACATATGCGTTGAACCTCCAAAATCCAGCACTCTCTGGTTCAGCAACATTCTTGGTCCGGCAGGACCACAGTTGTTGCTGGATCAGAGAGCTCCTGTGTCTGGTAGTGTGAACCGGCTGGGAGCCCTGTCCCCAGAGAACCCTAGCCAGCGGGACCAGCAAGCCCTGTCCCCAGGGAACTCCAGCTGGGTGGGGCAGCAGAGGGGACCAGTGAGCCCTGTCCCTGGGGAGCCGAGGCCGAGTGGGACAGCAGCAGGGCAGCCAATGGTAAAAGTGGGGCAGCCGGCAAGCCCTGTCCCCAGGGATCCCCGGTGGAGCGTGGCAGAAGCGGGGCAGCCATCAAGCCCTGACCCCAGGGATCCTCGGTTGGGTGGGAGAGAAACGGGACCATGGCGACTGGGGAGCTCCATCCCCAGGGAGCCCCAGCGAGCCAGAGCCTCAGTCCAAGCCCTGTAGCCCAGTGGCAGTGGGGCTGGAGCAGAATCACCCACAGGGAGGGGGAGCATCCTGAGAGGCTGGTGGCAGGGGACCTCCCCATATCTGACAAATTCCCTCATTTGGGATGGGTGAAGTCCGGGACCATGGCGACTGGGGAGCTCCATCCCCAGGGAGCCCCAGCGAGCCAGAGCCTCAGTCCAAGCCCTGTAGCCCAGTGGCAGTGGGGCTGGAGCAGAATCACCCACAGGGAGGGGGAGCATCCTGAGAGGCTGGTGGCAGGGGACCTCCCCATATCTGACAAATTCCCTCATTTGGGATGGGTGAAGTCCGAAGGGTGCCAGACAAGGGAGGTCCAATCTGTATTTAGTATCCTGCTTAGTTAATGCTGGAATGGAAAGTATGTCATCATCATAGGATATATCATCTGGCTTTTTCCCAAATATGGAATTGAAATATGTATTGAACACTTTTGCCTTTTCTGCGTTATTATTGACCATGTTACCATTTCTGTCTCATATTGGGCCAATACCATTAGGATTCTTTTCTCCTGATATATTACAAAAATAGGATTGTTAGATGATTATTTTTTTAAAATCGTGGTTAATTGCCTATTCTTACTTTTAGATGACACTTTAAATAAGCAGGCAGCATTATCTCCCTAAATGTAGCCAAACTTGTTTGTCTTAGTGATTGACTGAAAAAGTAGGAAGATTGAATGGACTTGTACGTTCTAAAGATTTTTACACTGTTTTGTTTTTGACTGAAGTTGTGAGAAAAAAATCTACATTTGTAATTTACACTTTTATGATGAAGAGATTGTATTACAGTTCTTGCATGAGGTGAACTGAAAAATATTATTTCTTTCATTAATCATTTTTACTTTACAAAAATTTGTAATAATAAATAAATACTGTACACTTTGTATTCTGTGTCATAATAGAAATTAATATATTTGAAAATGTAGAAAAAATCAAATTCAGCTTGAACTTTACTTAAAAGTGTGATTATGCACAACTCATTTTTAAAGCACAGTTAGTATTTTTGAGTTAATCGTATGTAATTGACAGCCCTATAAAAACATTTTTAGTATGCTTGACTCTGCTGGTTGATATTTCCTTGTGTCCTTTCTGCCCCCCTACCAATTTTCTACAATATCTGCCTTTTAATTTACATTCATTGCTATCATCATCTCCTTCCTTTTTTAATTTATTTATTACTGTTTTCAGTTTCCTAAGGCAGTCTGGTTTTTAACCTCTATTGTGTTCTACCTCAGTTGTGGTTTTTTGGGAATTCAGTAAAATGTATTTCAACATCTCTCAATTAACAGTTATAGCTTTTTCTGTTTAAATTCTCCCAGCTGATTTGGCTCATAATTATTTTCAGCTTTGTGAAACTGGCCCTTTTAAAAGCACCTGGTATGTTTATTACTGGTTTGAATTTTATTTGTTTGTATATAACAAATATAATTAAGTCTTGATCACTTGCACCAAAGCAACTGCTAACTTTTAGTTCTGTGATCATTTCATCTTTATCTGTCAAGATGATCTAATAAAGAATTCTTTTTATGATAGATGCAGTGTTTTGTGTGTTAGGTAATAGTCATTTACAATACTTAGAAATTCCAAAGACGTTTTAGAAATAGTAACAGGAGACCTCCAGTTGTACTGGGCAGGAAATGGTGTTTTCATCCTCTGAAAATTTTAGAGATTTTGAATCATTTTCCTGTTTCTAACTGGGACAGAAAGTCAATCTTGAACTTTTTATGTCAACTGAAAAATCTGTGGGGAAAATAATCAGTTCAGATCGATCTAAATGTTTCAGTTTAGGTCATTTTTATCTTTTAACTATATTTAGCTGAGGTTTTGATACGTAAATTCATTTTGACTTATAAGATGGAATTTTTCACGTGTAAAATGTAAAAAAAAACATTTTGAAACTATTTTCAAAAAATGTTTGAATCAAGAAATTCATTGAAGTTGACTATTTCCTGTGATAAGTTTCAATTAACCTATCTTCCTACGAAAAGAAATGTCTTTGAAAAATTCCCTATTGAAAATACCAGCTCTAACTTTCAGCATTACTTTACTTATATTAATATCACACATGATACTACATTTTTTCCTTATTGTATGTAAGTAGGTTCTTAAGGAATTGGTTATGTTATTCTTGAATGTAATTTGGTGGACTGTACCCATTTGATCTTTATCTGTTAGTATTTTCTTTAATTTAAGTGACATTTTTTAGTAATGATTGAAGGATTGAAGTTTTAATGTATTTGTGAGCAGTCCTGCCTTTATGATGTGATTCTTATTTTATGTTGTTGGTACCCAGAGCATTAGATGGCCATCTGTAGTTGTATTTTAGAAATGTGAAGAAATAAAATGTTTCTGTTTCTTGTTCTAATAGTACCTAGAAATGATGCTGTAATTATAAGAGTCTGTCAGCATTGCATGTGGAAATAGCTTTGGATTTGATCCAAAGTCCATTGAACTCACTGGGAGTCTTTTTGTTTATTTAGTGAACTTTGGATCAGCATTTCTAACTTACCACTTAAAATCTTAGTTCAAGATGAAACTCAGAATACATATTCTCAGCTTTCTGTTCTTCTTCCATTGTTTAATGGTAGTTTATATTGGTTCAGCTGCTAAAATAAAAATAGAATGTTTGGATGTTTTGCGCTAAAGTACACGTATGCTTTTTAAAAAAAGTTCATGTTAAAAATGAAATATTTGTAGTCTTTTAGTCCAGAATGTGAATTTATGAGAGTGAAGAGACAAAATATGTCTTATTGTGTTACAAACAATAATTGTGTCTCTAACCTTAATTTGTAATACTATAGGATCATGTAGAAATAAAGATAAATAGTTTTTATTCTTTGCAACATAAAGCAATAAAATGTGCTTATGATAATGTGACGCTTACACAATTGTTTTCAGGAGAAAAGATGATTGAGGTAATATCTTTTATTGGACCGACTTCTGTAAGTGAGAGTCAAGTTTATGCAGAGCTTGAAAGCTAGTCTCTCTCACCATGGAAGTTGCTTCAATAAAAAAATATTACACAACAGGCCACAACAATACAGCATCAAATGTTTTTATCAGAGCAGGAATTTTCCCTGCTGTCTGAATTGCCAGACAGATATTTAGCATGATATTGGAGCTCTGAACCTTCGTAACTAATAAGGCTGCAAGTCTTTCCTGGAGGACATGGATTTTGTCATTTTTCTGGGGCCACTGTGACTTCTGTAGTGGTTGGTGCAGCTCATCCTAGGAACACTACAGCAGATGGGGTAGCCTTGGGGTGAGTCACACCAGCTGCTATTCGAGCATCCTCAGGCAGCTGACCCTTAGGACCATAGAAACACCTGTTTTAGCAACACATTTTCTTGCCTTTTGTAGACAACATAGAGTTCTGGAGGAGGTAGGGGCAAGGGAGATGGTGGTAAAAAAGGAAAAAGCACTATTTTTCACCTTGAAATATTAAAATATCTTGTTTGTAGAGAGCCGTCAACTCTCATTATACACAAGGCTGTACAACTAAATAAGCATCTTAATTTGATGCATGGTATTTTTTAAGATAGATATTTATAATACCCAAGTGGTCATAATAGCCCTCAAAGAGAAATGTTGAATTAATATAAATGCTGGAGGCCTGGTGCTTCATTTCAGTTTGTCTGGCTTGAAAATCAACAAGCAGCAATGGGATGTTTACATTGTTAGGTTTCTCTTGCTACCAGAATAATTAAAATGTAAATATTTTTATTTAAAAAAATATTAAAATCTGTACTGGAGAAAGCGCTGCACAAAAATCTGAAATTTATGGATTTTTCAGAATTCACAGATTTCTGATGTTCTAGCACTTGATTTAGTTGAATTTGTTTTCACAAGAGGAGCAAAATGTTTATATTGAATAGAAAATAGGTACATTCTGGTGTTAGCATCTTAAAAAGTATGCTTTAACTTTTTCACTATTAAGGTTCTTATAGTAAATAGTTATTGAACTTCAGAATAAATTAGTTTTCTATCAATTTCTGCTATGTTTTCAATTGAAACCTTTAAAAACATAGTACTATATTAAATAATGACTACTGTTTCTCAATTTTTACAGCGTTTTGAGCTCCAGGATTCAGAAAGTCCTTTGCTTCCCAGTAGGATTATAAAAGTGGAAAGAATACATGGAAGCAAGGCTTTACAGGCTGATGTAACTGTTCAGATTGCTGAAAAAGAAGTGAAATTCCAGGTAACAATTCACAGGTTCAAGCAGCTATAATTCTTGATTTCATATCACAAATTTGTTATGTTACTTTCTGTTGATTCTCACCTACATTTTGATGAGGAATTCAAGAATGTTAGATTATGAAAATAACTCATTCAGGTCTTAAGGTGGTGATTTTTCCAACCACATGACCTGTTTATTTAATCGGTTACTAAAGTGTTAATGGAAAAGTACTTTCTCGATTCCTTATTTTGGGTTGTGCCATGGAATAGCACAACACAAAGCATATGGGGTAGCTCTTGTTGCTACCTTCTATATAGTTGTGTTTTTTTCTGAAAGAATTATGTTATTTTACTCTCTCCATATAAAAACGCTAGTAGTTTATTTCCTTGTGTTTACGACATCATATAAAATGTGCTTGGTAACATTATTCCAACACAGCATGTTGAAAGAGAAGCTTGAATAAAAGTCTATACATTAATCACATCAAATACAGTTAGGCTGTAATCTGGAATGGAGCCCCAAAGTTGGTTAGGTACTAAAATTTTAGTATCCTTCTGGCAACTCTTGCAGCAGGTTGGATACTGGATGTTTTGATCTTCCTGACCTGTGGATTTTACCAGTGATGTTGAAAGGGAAGTACTGATGCTTGGGCAGCTGAGGGCCTCCATATCATCTTCCCAGGCTTGCTCTTTGAAAGGACTCCAACTTTGCCTCAAGTGCTGATACAACAGGAGAAGGCAGAAGTCACCTGTCTAAGCTCTTACTTGATAGGTGTAGAGTTGAGGGCATCGCCTGGACAATAGGGTATTATCTGCTTGCTTCTATGGATGATTGGTGCCTAGATTTTTATAAACTTGACAAGTGGACTGTAATAAGTGCACCAGGCAAAATAAAGAAAACATCCTTAAAGATAGGATGTTAGAATGTGTGCACCATGACTACTAGAATATCTGAAGACCTTCAACAGATCAACGATGTATATAAAGCTACTGTGATCAATGATGATCTGAATGACTCAATGTGAATCCCTTCAAGAAACATGGCTAGCATCAAGAACAAGCCTGTACAACATACAGCTCACTGTGCGGCCCGTGACGACTATGGGCGGCGCGGCCCCATCCAATCCGCCGGCTGGGCAGAGGAGTGGAGCGCTGCCGGAGAGGGGGAAGTACAGCAGTTCTTGCCGCCAGGCTGCCTGCATGCTGGGCACTGGACGGAAGCCTAGTGGCGCCTCCTGTGGTTGCCTGCTGAAGCCTGACGTGTGTGGTGGGTTTTTTTTTTTCTCAACAAAAATTTTTAGCCCGCGTGTTTGGTATTTTTGGGAGAGCATTTGGCAACTTTACTTGCAGCCCGCAGCTGTTTTCTTTGGAGTAATATGGCCCTCGCCGCTTTCTGGGTTGTGCAGGCCTGATCAAGAGGATCTCTCAAAAAATAAGACTACACATTTTTCTGTCAGGAGAAACATGCAGAAGAAACGTGAGAGCACAGAATGGGATTTTCTATCAAGAACTCACATCTGTGGATGATTGAATTACCTTCACATTGGGTAAGAGAGAATTTTGGCACTAAGCTTGTTCACCTCTGATGGCCCAGTCAATTTTGTGATTATGTGTGCTCCAACACTGTTCTTATCAACTGACATCAAGGACCAGGTTAATGACTAGTTGAACATCACCATCAATAAGATTCCAAAACATTAATTTGTTTTCCTGATAGGGAACTTCAATGCAAGGTTGGGAACTGATCCAGAAGCATGGCCCAACTCTCTTGGTCAATGTGGAATTCATAAGATGAATGGAAATAGTCAGAGACTGCTAGAATTTTGTTCCTATTATGACCTCTGTGTAGCAAATGCATTTTTCCAGACAAAGTTGTAACATAAAGTGTCTTTGAAATATCCTAGATCTGGCCATTGACACCAACTGGATTTTATCATCATAAAATGTAGCAACCTTAACATCATCCTCATCTGCAGTTATCTAAGTGCTGATTGTGATACAGATCACTATCTGGTATACAGCAAGGTCAGACTTAAACCAAAGAAAATATACAGATCTAAAGATAAAGGATGCCCTTATATTATCATCAGTGCTGTAATGGACCAAGACAAGTCACAGCAGTACAATAAAATATTACAACAAGTACTTACCACCAGTGATTGTGCAACAAGCGCTTAGCTGAATTGGGAGCAGTTGAAGAACACAATCTATGATGCAGCTTTATTAGCCTTTGGGAAGAAGGAAAACAAGACCAATATCATCTATGTGTAGACACCCATCATAGAGGCCAAATGCACATCTTAAACCAACTATTAGAGGGAGCCAGATGGAAATAAACCTTACAAGCATTGAGAGTGGCCAGAGCCAAGATACAGTAAACAACAAACTGACAAAACACACAAAGATCTGTGTGCATCCTGCATGTGTTATCAGCACACTATTTTAAGGGAGTGAGACATGACCATATATTCTTGTCAGGAGAAGAAACTTAACAGCTTTCATATGCATTGCCTTCGTCGAATCTTAAGAATATTTCCCTCAACGAAGCATGTTCATATATTCATCATTCAAATATTGTTATTTTGGTTTTTTTAAAGATTTAGATTCTGGAGCATAAGATTGCAGTCATCAGTTAAAGTTACACGGTTGGTTTACACTGTGTTGGAAATCTGCCTTCTGAGCTTAAGCCACTTTCATATAACTTGTTTATCTTTTGTTTTTTTGTAGGTCCCAGCTGGTACTAGACCTTTACAATTGTGTTCTGAATCAGACACTTTCATAAAAACTTCCAGCCATAAGCAGCTGTTGGCAGAAATGATGCAGTCACATATGGTTAAGGATATGTGCTTGATAGGTGGAAAAGTAAGAACTGTAAATTCCTTTCTTTGTGTCTTCCTTGCGAGATATTTGTAATCTAATTTCTTAATTTTTATTTTATTTTTTACTTTTTAGGGCTGTGGCAAAACAGTTGTCGCTAAAGAGTTTGCTGATATGTTAGGATACAACATAGAGCCTATTATGCTGTATCAGGTAAAGTAAATTATATACTAATGTGTATGTCTTACAAATGGACTGAAATATGGCATGTATAAGTTAAATGAAAGAAGCTAGATGGAAATTCTATGTAAGATTACATCCTTCAAAAAATCACTCATCTAAGGAAAGAATCAAAAGCAATATAATGAAGTAAAAGTAATTCTTGAGACACTTTGCATACTTGCCAGAATTCTGAGCTGTAGAGTCTCTTCCAATTTGTAAGACTATGTAGAGAAATTATTATTTAAAGTGTTATTTGCAAATCTAAGGAAGATGGCTGTGTGTAAAGGGCCCGATGCTACTTCCAGTAAAATCAGTAGTAAAGCTCCCATTGACTTCAGGCTCTTAGTACATAGGAAGAGAAAACTGCAGTGTAAGGATATTTGTTTAGTAAAGTAAATTATGATATTTCCAAGCTGCAAAACAGCTGACTCTTTGAAATGATATTAGTTAATGTAATCAAGAAAATCTTTTTTCCTTCTAATTGTTTGATGTTTTTCTCCTGGTTTTCCAGCCTTTGAATCTGAGTGATAGCATATTTTCTCCTTCCCTTTTCTTTGGGTTGTCTATAAGCTATTTGTAAAATGACATTCTCCGCCATCTATACTTTTGTGTATTCTGGAAGACAATTCCTTTCTTTTGTGAAGATAATTTACATTACTTTTTATGCTCTATATACTCCTAAGGGAATTTTGCAACATTGCTCGTGTGCTGAATTCAAGTCCCGTACAGAATTTTTTTTTCTCTGTGGAATATTCATTCTGCTGGGGAGGCTCTGTGCTTATCCCTTTTGCTCACCAGGGGTTGCTGTGGTGCCAGAACAAAGTGCAGCAGTGGATAGAAAATACAGGAAGATGGATTTTCACACTACCCTGTTGATGGAGTCTGGTCAGGAAGCATTGGTAATGAGAGGATGAGCAGTGTGAGACACACGGGGCTGCTGGGTGGGGTGTGTGTGACAGACTAGGTTCTGAAAGGCTAGTGGTGGGGGGATATACTGGGATGGGGACTGAATGGGAGTGGCAGTAGAGAGAAATGGGGCTGTGGAGGAGGGACAGGGCCGGCCTTAAGCCGATTCGGCCGATTCGGCTGATCAGGCCCATGCCTAAGGGGGCCCCGCGCCCTGAACCCGGAAGTTGGCTCCCTTGGCTCGGCTCCCCCTTACCTGCGCTGCGCACGCTGCTGGCTGCTGCTGCCCTGCGCGCCGTTTGCAGGTGGGTGGGGAGATGCCTGGACATGATGTAATGTCGGAAAAAAATGAATGAAAATGTTATTTGCTATTTATAGGGCTAAAATGCTGGGACACAAATGAAAGCAAACAAAAAAACCCCATTGCAAAATGCAAACATGTAAAAGACAACAAAAAAGTGGGGGGGAAATTTTTTGCTTGGCCCTGAGGGAGGGGAAGCAGCTGGGTCGGGCTGAGGGGAGGGAAAAATATGGGGAAGGGGCTTGTGCTGAGGGGAGGGGTGGGGAGGAGGTCAGGAGCAGAAGAAGAAAGGGGAAGGCACTAAGGTACAGGGGTGCAGGAGAAACAAATCCCATGGGGCCAAGTGCAGACAATGAGGAAGAGGCAGGAGGGGAGGTGTCAGTGGGAGGGGGGAACAGGGTGATGCTAGGAGAGGAAGGGCACTGGCTAGAGGGAGGAGGGGAAGGTCCTGGGAGAAGTCTTGAAAGAAGAAGTGGGCATGAGGAAGGTGGGGATGGAGCAAGGCCTGTGTGAGGGCACAGGGGCATGAAGGGAATGGGGGGGAGAGGGCAGGGAGGGGGTGGCCATCAGGGAAAAAGAGGAAAAAGGGGGCAGGGGCAGTGAGGGAAAGGGGAGGCACGAGGAGCGTGCAGGGCTAAGGGAAGGTGCAAAGGTGCTTAAATATCTGCAATGAAGCAGAAGGGTAAACACCTGCAGGGGAGGGACCAGCACCAGAGGAGAGAGGCAGGGCAGGTTTGTAGAGGGAGGTGTTAGAAGAGGGGATGAGGAGGGGTAGCTCACATGATCAGAGTGGGGCTACTGGAGGAGTGGGCACAGGGGGGAGAGAAGGGCTGGTGCAAGAGGTGTTAGAAGAGGAGTAGCTCACATGATTAGAGTGGGGCTACTGGAGGAGTGGGCACAGGGGGCAGAGAAGGGCTGGTAGAGGGGGGCAGGTTGCAGGAGGGCTGAGGGCAGTGAGAAGGGCAGGAGTCAGGACAGCAGAGGAGGGTGAGGAGTTGGGGGCAGCAGGCACCAGGGGAGATGATGGAGCAAGGAGAGGAGACATGGCAGCAGAGAGAAAAGGTAAAAGTTTATAAAATATTTATTAATAACGTGGTATGCTGCCCAGTTTGTTTGTGCCCCATGTTGCAGTTTGGGTTTATGTGGGGATCAACATGTGGCCAGCGAGTGGGAGCCAAAACAAAAAAGTGGTCAGTGTAACAATCTTCTGTTGATATGTGTTTTAGTAGTTAAATTCTTGGACTGTCATTGTTTATGAAAAGTGCTGTAACATGGGTAGATATTGGGAAAATATTGCATTTTATTAATATCAGCAGAACTGACTTAAATGGGGCCTGTGTGTTGTGTAGTCTTGCCTTAATCTTTGTATTCATGCCTGTCAGTGTGAGAGAAGCTATTTGTATATATTTGATTGCATATGCAACCACACTTAAGTTGAGGACCTCAGCATGTTCTGTTAGTATCAGTGTGGCCCCTGGGCTCATCCCTGACAGGTGTCTGTCTAACCTGGTCTTAAATATCTGCAATTTAAGCCCATTGCTTCTCATCCTAACCTCAGAGGCCAAGCAGAACAATTTTTCTTCCTCCTCCTTATGATACTCTTTTAGATACATGAAAGCTGCTCTCATGTCCCTTTTCGGTCTTCTCTTTTCCAAGGTAAACAAGGCCAATTTCTTCAGCATTGCCTCGTATCTCATGTTCTCTATACTTTTCCTCATTTGTGTTGATGTTCTCTGGACTTTTCCAGTTTCTCCACATTTCCTGAAATGTGGCTCCCAGAACTGGACACGATACTCCAGCTGGGGCCTAATGTAGGTGGCTCATTCCCTGCCTAGGGGACATGAGACTGGGCGGGTTAATTTCCAATCCTCCTGTTTATTCCTTTCTTAAGCCAGGAGGGCACAGTAGTTCTGATGGGGGTTGGAGAGGGGATGGAAGCCACATCCAAGATCAATGAGCCCTGGGAAGTGGGCCCATTGAAAGGAGACTGGAGCTGTGGATGCGTTGGGGGTCAGCAGTAAGGGCCTGCTTTGGGAAGCCCCCTCTTTGGAGGTGAATGAGGCAGCATTGAGACACCACCCAGAAGCAGGCGCCACAGACACTAACTTCAGATTCATGGGACGGCTCTCACAGATCTTGCACGTGCATAAGATGATAGATCTGCAGGAGAGGGGGCAGTGGCATAGTGAGGGGGCCAGAGCGGTCAGTTGCCCCTGGGAGAAAAATAATATAAAATTTAGCTAAAAATAGATGTCACATGTTTTTAAAAGGAATACCATATCTCCTGCCTTTTCTCTCTTTAGGTCCCCAGTTAAAATTTTCAAAAGCACATGAGTGACTAAAGTCATTTTTGATAATTGGACTTGGAAATCTAAGCTCAGATTTTCAAAGGTAATTAAGCTCCTAAAGAGACAGTTGCCAACTCGGATCTTCAAAGATATCTATCTGATCTTTACACACCTTTGAAATTCTGGTCATAAGTGTCCTAGTCAGTTCTGAACGCAAGATGTAGGAGCTCAGTCCTAGTTCCTTCAGGCTTTTTTTTTTTATTAACATTTATCTACACTAATTCCCCTCCTTTCTCTTTCACTGTCCAATAAATGCCTGGATCAAAATTATAGGTGCTTTGTGAATATGCTGACTTGAGA